AGAGAGAGAGAGAGAGAGAGAGAGAGAGAGAGAGAGAGAGAGAGAAAGTCATATGAAGTAGAAGGCATATGAAGGAAAGAACATCAGGTTGAAGGAGTTTTCGATGGTGTAAAAGACAGCAGTCTTTTGAGACAATGACAGAAAGTCACCCTGTTGATTTCTTGCTTTCTCAGCCTCTCTGTGCTAGCAGGTTTTCTCTCCAGCATCTCACAGGGCCCCTGAATTTTTATTGGAAAAATAAAAGACATAGAATTAGTCAAAACAACGTCTACCTCCATACATGACTCCATACTGAGTCCATGGCTATGTGATGCAAAAGCTCCACTGAACCATGACAACAGCAGCACAGCAGTAGTAGTGGTGGCTGCAGAGGTGCAGGCAGCAGCTGAGGCAGAGATAGGATCAGATGCAGATGCTGTGCTGCAGATATCAAACAACAGGAACTCCAGGAAGTTTGGCTACCATTTGAAAAATTCAATAATTCAGTCAACACCCTTTCCAAAGGGAAAAGCAAGAGAAACTAGTTCATAAAGCATAAACATTGTCAGTACATATGCTCCATTGTGGATAACATAGTAATGTGGAGGTTGGAGGATAAATCAAAAGAATAAAGAAAACAGAGTGAGGAGGACAAGGAGAAGTAGAAGGAAACTTCCCCCTCAGCTGGTGACTCCTATTCTGAGTCTGGACTCCATAACTTTTTCAAGACTACTGTGTAGTTGATCCACAGCACGTGCTGGAATCTCACTACTTATGTTGAACTCACACACCCGAGTGAAAAGATAAAAATGAGAGTAGACATATGAGTACCAGTGTCTGCCACACATCGAAAAGAGGAAGACAGGTCCTTCTGAGCCATGTTCTCTGCCTCTGATGGTTAGGGAGTCACTGTGATTTAAGGAAGAATGGGAACTGGAATGTCCTCAGAAGCTTGCTCAGGGTAAGACAGGCCTTGAGCCTGAAGTCAAACCCAGCCTCATTCTCACCTGACCTATGAGTAAGTTTCTGTGGTGAGATGATGCTGTGGTAACCTTTGTAATGTAAACTATTTATAGATTATGAGAAAGTATGCATCTCTGAAGCAAGCACACAGATACCCATACATATATACACAGACAGTATACAACAACAGAGACAATCCTTTAAAAAAGGCACTTACAAGATCAGAAGGGTATTTGTATATGAACAACCTGTTAACATTCATTTTCCACCTATGCCATTCATTCTACTTAAAAACAAATGACCATATTCATTCATAACGGGCTTTGAATATATTGATTCATTCCAGTATCCTCTCTCCTTTTTCTCTCATTCCTTTGACCCTTCTGGCCTTTTCTATGCTCACGTCTCTTTTTTTCTCTTCTCTCTTCTTTCATATTTTCCTGCACCAAATCTACTTCTTTTTCTGCTCATCCAGAAGTGAGATTACACGGTCCCATTGTCTTGTGTAATTCACCAAGGAACCCCACTGTTTTCATAATGTCTTAGTAGACACATTCCCATTTTCACAACACAGGCATCCCTTCCCCTCCACTCCCATAACACTTGGTCTTATTTTTGCCTTAGGTAAATGGCACTCATATCATTGGTAACAGGCAACTTATTCTTTTGGGTTTAAGATCCATTTTTGTTGGTATTAGAAATATTAGCTTTACACTACCTCTTCTGCCCACATGCATGGGTCAAGGTGAGGCAACCCAATCAGGGGTAGGAGGGCAGAACAATGTGTGCTCATGAGAACATAACTTCTCAACTCTGGATTCCCTGAGATGTCTGTTAACATCCTGACTCACAACTGAGAGAAATAAGAGAAATAAGTTTTCCTTGAAAAATAAACTGTTCTCTTGGATGACAGATATCGTATTATAAACTTTAACAGGGATTAGTGATGTTTCAAACACAGTATTTACTATTCAACTTAAAAAATAAAATTTTTTAATATTACTGTTTGAATCAAGGTCTCATATAAACAACACAGGAACTAGCCATTGGGCTAAATCACAGCATTGAATGAGAATGTTTTAAAAACCACAAAGTTTTAAAATGGGGGTATACACTTCTGTGAGCATAATGTTGTGCTCATGGAGACAAACAGATGGCACAGGGTCCTCTAGGGTTGTGTGGTTCTCAGCTGCCTGCATCTTCTACCTTTTACAATCTTCTTTGTCTTCTTCAGGAACTGATACTGGCCACTACACAGAATCACCTTTGTCCTTTGTGATGATCTACATATTGTTTAGGTAAAAGCACATCCTAAATTTAAAAAGCAACTATAACATGGCTGTAAAAATCAAGTTTTTGCTACCCAAGAACCCTTCATGGGTTCTAAACACAGAACTAAGAAGTATCTTTTAGAAAGAAACAAAGAAAGAAAGAAAGAAAAAGAAAAGAAGAAAAAAATAAATGGTGTGACAGACAACCAGGTATACCATGTAGGAAATTTGGAGACAGAACAATCACTGGGACTCACTGGATAACCAGACTATCCAGTCATTTAGTTAAAGGCCCAGTGATAGAATTTGTCTGAAAACAAGTGGTGCAGACTGTTAGAGAAATGCATCATATGTCAGCACAAACACACCCACCCACCCACACACACACACGGAGAGGAATGAGAGAAAAAGAGAGTGAGAAAGAGGGAGAGGGAGAGAGACTGAGACAGAGATAGGTAGATAGAGAGATAAAGGGAAGCAGAAACACTGTAATAAGTAATCATACACATCACAACAGGAAACAGAAATTTGAATAAACATTTAGACATTCAAGGGTTACTGCACTATATCTGTAGAGAAAAATCCTTAAATGTGATACGGAGAGGCAGCGAGACACAGAGAAGTACATTTTTCCATGCTTCTCTAAGATTCTTGTGGGACCCAGATTTCTAAGTGCTCTCAGCGCCCCCTGCTGGTCCTGTGTTCCCCATAGCCCTGTATTTGTCTGGGCTCACAGTAGCATTCACTCACTGTGCCTTTTGCACAGTAATACATGGCTGTGTCCTCAGAATTCAAACTCCTCATTTCCAGGTACAGAGTGTCTCGGCATTGTCTCTGGAGATTGTGAACCGGCCCTTCACAGCGTCAGTATACCAGGTGCTACAACCATTGTAACAAATGGTTGCAACCCACTCCAAACCTTTCCTGGAAGCCTGGCGGACCCAGTTCATGTAATAATCACTGAAGGTGAATCCAGAGGCTGCGCAGGAGAGTTTCAAGGACTTTCCAGGCTGCACTAAGCCTCCCCCAGACTCCAGCAATTGCACCTCACACTGGACACCTGTAAACACAAAGAATTCTGGTTAGAAAACTGACACAGAAGACATTTTTTTTTCTTTTTCATGTACACACAATACACAGTATCTCATCTTTATGAATTACCTTTTAAAATAAGGACCGAGAAAACCAGTATGAGCCCTATGTCCATGATGAGTGTCCTGTGTTCAGTGATGAACCCTGACTGGGAGGACTTGGTAATCCAGGGCTTGTCTCCTCTGCCAGAGCTGCAGGGTCAGGGCAGGACTGGTTTTTATGGGCACAAAGAAGACTTATTTGCATAACTTCCTGACACAACAGGATCTGTAGCTGGACCTGGGCAGAAGACAGTACTCAGAACAGATATAAGACACCATACACACTGATGACAGTTAAAGAAATTGTATCATTAACGTAGTTCTGTGTACACATTTTTCTTGTTAGGGATTTACCACACTTTATTTAGTTCCCTTTTCACCATATGCACAGGGAATGCTGTGTTTCCACACTGTCATGTCTCTGTAGGGTCAATGTGAAATTGAAAAGCTCCACACACTGCTGTATTTCTAGATATTGTCTCTGTCTGTCCCTCTGTCTCTGCTGGACATGGCTTCTTCAATAGGTGGATCTTGGCTAGGCTCACACTTGCCTCTCAGCAGAACTCCTTCCCTATGACAGGAACACTTCAGACTTTTTTAATATTTATTTTACTCACTTTGGAGAGATGCTGTCCTACGGCTCCAGGAATTTTGCAAATGAGACGTTTCTTTTTGTTGTCTGTCTTCCTCTCAGTGACTGCTGTGGAGACATATTTATATTTGCAGCACTCCATTGTTTGCCTTATGAAATCCTTCTTATGATCACTTTTTACTCCTCACTCTGCCTTTCCCTTTCTCAGTACCAGGGAACACATGTCTGTATTCGTGCTGTCTTAGGCCAGTATTTATATCTTCAAATTTATGTAGTCACCATAATGTGAACATTGAATAAATTTTTATTCTGAAGCATAAAATTTTGGCATCAATTTTGTATTTTCAGAAGATTTTGTTTTTATTTTTCCAGATTTTCATGATTTCTACCCACACAGCTTCTTTCTGTCAATACATCTAAATTTCCTTTTAAAACCCCTGTATTACCCTGTGATTTTTTTCCTCTTGCCCTTCACCTAAGATGTCTTTTCCTGTCTTGACTTCCATTCTCGTTCCAAGCCTACAAAAGAAAAGCCAAAACACCTCATTCACAGAGTCTCTAACACACAGACTGGAATCTCTATAAGGAAGAAGATGTCCTTCCAAATCATTAGTATGTTGTGTGATATAAGAGTTTCAGTATCATATCATAGATACTGAATAACAATGCCTAAAAGGACCCCCTCAAACTGAGAAGCTTCTTTAAAGCAAAGGACACAGTCAATAAGACAGAATGGCAGCCTACTGAATTGGAAAAGATTTCACCAACCCCACATCACACAAAGGACTGCTCTACAAAATATATAAAGAACTCAAGAAATTAGACATGGAAATTCTAAATAATTCAATTAAAAAGGGAGTACTGAACTCAACAGAGAATTCTCAACAGAAGAATCTCAAATGGCCAAAGGATACTTAAGGGAATGTTCAACATCATTATCTATCAAGGAAATGCAAATCAAAACAACTGAAATATACAATATTACACCTGTCAGAACGGCTAAGATAAAAAATACAAATGATAGCTTATGCTGGAGAGGATGTTGAGTAAAGGGAACACTCATCTATTGCTAGTGGGAATGCAAACTTGTACAATCACTTTGGAAATCAGTATGATGGTTTCTCAGATAATTGGTAATCAACCTACCTCAGGATCCAGCTATACTACTCTTGGGCATTTACCCCCAAAATGCTCAATCATACTATAAAAGCATTTGTTCAACTATGTTCACAGCAGCATAATTTTAATAACCAGAATCTGGAGCCAAAATACTTGCCCATCAACTGAACAATGGATAAAGAAAATGTAGCACATTTACACATTAGAGTACTACTCAATAAAAATAATGACATCTTGAAATAGCCACACAAATGGACTGAATTAGAAAACACTATCCTGAGTGAGGTAACTCAGACCCGAAAAATGAATATAGTATATACTCACTCAGTGGATACTAGCTATAAATAAAGGACATTGAGCCTATAGTTCATGATCCTAGAGAAGTGAAGTAATGAGGTGAATCCAAAGAAAAACATATATAGAATCACCTCAAAATTGGGAACAGACAAGATCACCTGACAAAATTGAGAGCATGAGGATGGGCGAAGAAAGGAGGGTAGAATAGAAAGAGGAGGGGAGAAATGGAGGTTTGAGTAGAACTTGAGTGAATGGGATACTCAAGATGGATGAAGGACAGATATGAGAGCAAGGAAAGAGATATCTTAATTGAAGGAGCCATTATATGGTTAGCAGAAACCAGGATCTAGAGAAATTCCTAGGAAAATAGAAGTATGACTGTGCCTAAGATCCTTAGCAAAAGAGGAGAGGAGGCCAGATCTTTTCTTGCCCTATAGTCAGACTGATGATCGTCTTAAATATCACTACAGAATAAACTTCCAGAAACCGATGGAAACAGAGGTTGATACCAATATTGGAGCACTGCACTGAGCTCCCAAAGTCCAGTTGAAGATTGGAAGGAATGAATATGAGCCAAGAGTTCATGCCCATGATGGGTTCACCCACTGATATGGTTTACCTGACCTAATAGGAGTTCACCAACTCCAGCCAGACTGGGAAGGAACAAGCATAGGTCCAAACTAGTTCCTCTGAATGTGGTTGACAATTACATGAATGTGGCAGACTTTTGGCCACTGGCAGTGGCACCAGGATTTACTCCTACTGCATGTACTGGATTTTTAAGATCCTATTCTCTTTGGATGTATACCTTGCTCAGCCTAGATGAAGTAGGGGGTGACTTGTACCTTCTACAGGGCATTGCGACTTACTGTCTCTGAGGATTAGATGGGGGTGCGTCAAGAGTGTGTGTGGAGGGAAAAGTAGGAGGAAGGGAGTGGGAACTTCTATTGGTAGTTTTTAAAAACATCTAATAAATTAAAAAGAAATCTTGTATTATTCAAATTTTACCAAGGCTCAGAAAACACTGATGAAGATGAAGTGGGAAGAATGTAAGGAGTGGAGCACAGGGAGTTGTGCTTTGAAATGCTGCTTACTCGATATGACATGGATATTGCAATCACAGACCCATAATGGCTGCTGTTGTCTATATAAGCCCAATTGGGGTCAAGCCAGCTAAAACCTGGCATAAATAAGGTTGATAATTACTTGACCCTACCTGGTACTGATGATCAATTAGAAATGTATTCTTCTGGACAAGGAATTGAGTCATACTATTTGAGGGTATGGTCACTGGTATGTTTCCTATGTTGCAGTGTTTGGGTTCACATGTGTGCATATATGGGCATCACTAACTCTGTTTAAAATGATACAAGGTTGGTATGTCCCCATATTTGGAATATGTGGGAAGAGCTTGATGAAAAATATCACATGAAGATATCCTAAAGAATAAAGAAAATTGATAG